AGTCAAAATAACCCTCCAAAACCTCTCTATTTTCCTTCATCAGTCTCAATGTCCCCTTAACCCAGCTGGTCTCAGGGGCCTCAAACCTATTAACTGTAAACATTTACAAGCTCGAGTTCTCAAGCCTGTCAACTCTCCCCATAACACCCCAGTCCTGGCTGTCAAGAAAATACAGACAGGTCTTACCACTTGATCCAGGATATCTGGGTTAATAACCAGGTGGTGGCTCCAATCCATCTCCAACCTATATACTCTACTCTCTCATATTCCCTCTCTACCACACACTTCTCTGTATTGGATCCAAAGAACACCTTTTTCACTATTCCATTGGATCTGGCTTCCCAGTCTTTTTACTTGGTCAGAACCTGATATTCACACATCTGCCCAACTAATATAGACTTCCATAGGGGTTCTGAAATAGCCCCCACCTTTTCGAACAGGCCCTGCCCAAGGACCTGAACTTTCCCTTGCTCCTAACACCCTCCTCCAATACATCATCTTAGCTCCTCCCTTAACTTGTCCATCCAACACACCACTCAGCTTTTAAACTTCCTCCATAGTTGAAGATATCAGGTCTCACTCAAAAGGCTCAGGTAGCCCCAAACCAGGTCACTTACCATGGGATTGTTCTAACCTGATAGAAGAAAATTTTCAGTGCTGCAAAAGAAATAGCACTTGAACATAAATTTTCTCAGCAAGGCAATTTTACTTCTATAGAAGGGTGGGTCTCGTGGATGGAGCAATGGGGAGAGAACACCTGAACAGGGGAGAGGAAGGGGCTCTTATCCCTGATGCTGGTAGCCCCTACTGCTGTGTTATTCCCCTATTGCTTAGAGTTGGACTGTACAGTCTAAGCTAATTAGTCTAATTCTAATTGGTTATTTTAAAGAGTATGAGCCTGAGTGGTGGGGTGAGCAGTTTCACCAAGAAAAATGGTTATGGAACACATGACTATAGGTGACTCAGGTCAGAGCAGGTGACCAGAAGTGACTCAGGATGGAGCAGGCAACTAAGGGAACAGATGTGAACTATTGATTAGAGCTGGTGAGAAAGTTGTTTACTGAAACTAGGGACAAGGAGATAAAGAGAACAAGGAAGTTAAACTTTAAAAATGGAGAACAAAGAACACAGAAACTGAACATACTGGCATACTGATTCTTTGAAGAGAAATTCAGAACTCACCGTATTTAACACCCCTAACTATTTGGCCATCCCAACCCAACAAAAGGAGCTAATTAGGGACATGCCCCTTCCCCACATAAAGAAGGACCTCCTCTCCTTCTTGGGCCTTGTGGGATACTTACAGCTATGAATTTCCAACTTCAGCTTGCTGGCCAAGCCGCTTTATGTGAATTCACAGATAGAAATATCTCACAAGGCTCATCCTAGAACCCCTGAACCCAGATTGCCCCATCAAAACTTTTTTAAAATGCCCTTTTAACGATCTCAGCACTGGGACTGCCCAACCCCACCAAGCCCCTTACTCTGTATGTACATTCCAACCAAGGCCTTGCTCTTAGACTGCTCTGCCAAACATATAGCAACATCCCACAAACCACTGCATACCTCTCAAAACAACTGGACTCTGTCATCCAAGCCTGGCAACTCTGCCTGAAAATCTTGGGTATGGGCCAGGCATGGTGGCTCACACCTGTAATCCCAGCACTTTGGGAGGCTGAGGCGGGTGGATCATAAGGTCAGGAGTTCAAGACCAGCCTGGCCAACATGGTGAAACCCCATCTCTAATAAAAATACAAAAATTAGCTGGCTGTGGTGGCACGTGCCTGTAATCCCAGCTACTCAGGAGGCTGAGGCAGGAGAATAGCTTGAACCAGGGAGCTGGAGGTTGCAGTAAGCCAACATCGCACCACTGCACTCCAGCCTGGTGACAGAGTAAGCCTCCATCTCAAAAAAAAAAAAAATATATATATATATATATATTGGGTGTGGCCACATCGCTGGGCTCGGAGGCACAGAAACTCACTCTCTACCAATACATTACTATGATTACTATGTTATGGCATCTTCCCATAGTCTACAGGACCTCATGAGCCATCAATCCCTTCTATCCTTCCTACCATTCTGCTTACAGCAGGTATATGTCTTATTCACAAGTAACCTTCCAGAGATTAAAGCTTTCAACCTGGCCACCCTCTTCTCTGTAAACACATGAGCTCTTTCACTCCTGTCTGGACCTCTTAGACTCCCTCTCCTCCCACTTCCAACACATTTTGGAAGCCCCTTTGTGGGGAACACCTACATGGTTCATTAATGGAAGCTCTCTTAGGGAGCCATATCCAGCAGCTGGCTACACCATCATTGCCAAAAACAAGCTCTTAGAATCCAATGCTTCCCCACTCCATACTACCTCCTCTCAACAGGCAGAACTAGTTGTCCACCCTAGCAAAGGGGAAAAGGAAAGGGTTCACATTTACACAATTCCAAACATGCATGCCATATCCTACACTCTCACACCTTAATCTGGCAGAAAAGGGGTTTTCTAACTACAAAAGGAATCCCCATAGGAAATGGCAAACTCATACGCAAACTGCTGGAGGTAGCTAAACTACCACTATAGGCCACCATTATCTATTGCAAGGAACACCAAAAGGCTGTAAGTGCCATAACCAAGGAAAACTTCTTAGCAAATTCAGCAGCCTGGCAGGCAGCTCTTAAAACCCCATCATTACTGCCCATTTTTCCCAGCATACACCCTGTATGTACCCAGGAAGAACAAACCTCACTCGTCCAGGAAGGAGGATGGTTTTATCTCAATAATAAAATCGTCTCGCCCAAGTCCCAGGAACCCCCTGTACTTTCATATGTACACAACCATTTCCATACTGGTTACCGCCCCCTACTCCAACTCTTACACACATTTTCCCACCATGACTGCCAATCTCAAAGATATTACTAAGGCATGTTCTCTCTGCACTCAAACTTCTCCTCAGGGACCTATCAAACCACCTCCTTTCCCCACACACCAGGCCTGAGGACACCTGCCAGGGCAAGACTGGCAAATCAACTTCACCCACATGAGCCCCCATAAAATGAGTCCAGTACTTTATGACAATAATAGATACAGTCTCTGAATGGATAGGAACTTTTCCTACCAACACCAAAAACAAACAAACAAACAAACAAAAAAACACCACACACACACACACACGTCACTTCTTTTTTCCTTACTCACATTATCCTTCCATTTGGACTCCCCTCTTCTCACCAGTCAGACAATAGGCCAGCATTTGTTTCACAAGTTAACCAACAGCTGGCGAAGACTCTAAATATTAAATGGGCATTCCATATTCCTTATCGCCCCCAATCATCAGGTCAAATCAAACAGGCCAATGCCCTTTTAAAACAACTAGCCAAAGAGTCCCTAGAAGTTAAGATGGCCTGAAGTTCACTTCTCCCACTGGCCCTCATGGGATTATGAGCCATGCCCTAAAAGCCCCTCAGCCTAAGCCCATTTAAACTCGTGCAATGCCCCTGTATCCTCCAGAATCTCCTGTACCTCCTCCCACTTCTATATGGGATACTTGGCTTGCATTACACCTCACACAACATCTAATAAGACAGTTCACAAACACTTACTTGCCCCAGCCTAAAAGTCCATTCTCAAAACACTCCTCCCTGTCCCTACAACCAGCTGAATGATCTGGGTCACAGACTTCCCCACCTCCCCTCTCCAACCTAAGTAGACGGGTGCTCACCAGGTTACCCTAACTACTCCCACAATGGGAAAGCTAGCATCCTTTCCACACTGGATACACCATTCCAAACTAAAAAGAGCACCAAGTGCACCTCCAGAATACTCCCTCCCCCCACACACAAAAAAATTCTTCCTCCCTCACAGGACTAACCTGGCTGCGCTTAACAAAAATTCCAGAAGTTGCCAATCCAGAAGGCCCTGGTCCGTAACACTCTCCACCTCCAATTTCAAATCTTTTAGCTCATATGTTGTTTCAGAGCCTTCCTGGTCCTCCTTCCCTGGATAGTCCACTCCGATTTCCTACGCTAATCCAGGAGCTATGGCTAAAGGGCATCTTCCAAAATTTCACTCCTACTGAAATCTCCTTTTGTCTTCTTTGTGAGATACTCTAAGTCCCCACCCCCAGCCTCTGGCAGTAGGGTCCCCTTTGTCAACCTCACACATTATCTCTTAAATCAGTCATACTCCCCTCTTTCTTCCAACTGTTAAATTTGTTCATCCACACAAATCCAGCCATTCACAGCCCTTCCTATTAATCTAACCACACAAACCCAGTCCAAAATAAACCTACAACTCATCTACTTAGCCAATCCCTTCTCTTAACTGCAACCTATATCCTTCAACCCTATCAGGACCACAATGGCTATTAATTACAAAAACCTATTTCTCTCTCCAAAACCAAACAGGCCCCCTCTCCTCCCTGACCGACTTTCCCTACCAAGCCTTCCCAGGGGTTACCCTTACTAACAACCATTCAACGTGGAAAAACAAAAGGTCTGAACAAAAAGTTTATCCAGGATTCGACCCCCACCTTCTCATGGCTTGCCACCACAACCTACAATTTTTGTCTGTCCACCCCGATTGCTTTCCTTCTGTGTAGCACAAACTCATCTTTGCCTGCCAGCAAGTTGGTCAGGAATATATACCCTGGTGTTTCAATCTCCACCTGTTAACATTTTGCCAACAACCAAACTATTCAGCTTCCTTTAGTCATCTCCATTTCCTCCCCCTCCACACACACCAGACTAACTATACACATCATTCCCCTGTTAGCAGGACTGAAGTGCTGGAAAGGGAAGAGTGTGGTCCCTTTAAATGATACAGAAGGGGAAAAGGGAAGTGCTGGATAGAGGAGGGCATGGTCCCTGGCTTGGGCTCCACTCCTACAAACCTAGGTGAGGACAGGCATTTGCTGCCCAAATGTTGGATTTCCCAAGACCACCCTAGCCTGCCATGCCCCCATCCTGTGCCCATAAAAACCCAAGACTCTAGCGGGCAGACTCACACGTGGCTGGACGTCAAGAGGAGCAGATCAGCAGAAGAACACACAGGTAGCTGGACGTCGAGAGGAGCATGTCAGCGGAGGAACACATGGGCGGCTGGAATTCGAGAGGAATGCACCAACAGGCACTGGCGTGCTGGCAGGCCACCAACCTGCAGAAAGACGTGGAATTTGGCAGGGGCAGTTAGAGGAGAGCCCGCGCCACCAAGCGGCCCGATTCCAGGGGAAAACCATCTCCCTTCTGGCTCCCCCATCTGAGAGCTACTTCCATTCAATAAAACCTTGCACTCATTCTCCAAGCCCATGTGTAATCCAGTTCTTCTGGTACGCCAAAACAAGAACCCAGGATACTGGAAGCCCTCTGTCCTTGTGACCAGGTAGAGGATCTAATTGAGCTGGTTAACACAAGCGGCCTACAGATGGCTAAACTAAAAGAGTACATTCTGACACACACCCACTAGAGCCTCAGCTGTAAACACTCACCCCCAGACACTGCCGTGGGGTCACAGCCCCACAGCCTGCCCCTCTGTATACTCCCCTAGAGGGTTGGGCAGCAGGGTACTGAAGAAGTGAGTCACACTCCCATTGCACACTCAGTGAGGGGGACAAGGGAACCTTTACCATTTCAGGACTGAACCTCTCTGCTGCACTCAAAACCAAGATAGCAGATTAGCCCTTTCTCAGGTTCCCCAATCTCCCTCCTCTTAACTAACAATTGGCCGGTATATACTCACCTTCATATCATCCCACTCAACCTCCCAAAGGCTGAACTCCCTTGTTCAGGCAGTCCTCCAGAAACACACTGATATCGTCCTTTTCCTCCACCAAGTCCAGTATCAGCACCTCTGGAAAAACAACTCTAAACTCAAACACCCACGACTTCAAAACCCCAACCCTGATTACAGTGCCCCTAATTCAACAGGAAACAGCCAGATAATCAACAGTGCCCCTCTTCCTTTTATACTAAAGTAGAAGGCAAGAAAGTTCAAACTGCACTGTTTTGTAACCCCCCACCCCTGCCATTTTGCAGACCTTGCTCAAAGTGAAACAAACATTCCATAGGGATTCGGCCATTGAGAAACAACCTTCTTATCATATTCTGCTGGGAGAAAGTGCAAGGAACACCACATTCCACCGCAACAAGGGCCAGAACTGCCTCATCCTGGGAACATGTTATCAACATTTTCCCAGAAAGCAGGCCATGTCTCCCCAAATCCCTCCTGCCCAGGCCTATAAGTGGCCCCACCCTGTAAGCAGTGGTGGGCACTGACATTAAGCTGGTCTCCCACCTCTGTAGGTCTTATGCTGGACATTAAAGCCTGTACTTGCTGTTAAGCTGCCCTCTCTGTGTGTGTGTGTATATGTCTTTAACCTTCATCTTGCCTTCAAAACCTAACACAGACAAAACAGGCTTTAAAGTATCAACACTTTAAAAAGAAAAAGAAGACTCTTATATAATGATAAAAGGACTAATCAAACAGGAAAATATCACAATCCTACATACATGTGCACCTGATGCTGGAACTCCCAAATTTGTAAAACAATTACTACTGGATCTAAGAAATGAGATAGATGGTAACACAGTAATAGTGGGAGACTTCAATACTCCATTGACGGCACTAGACAAGTCATCAAGACATAAAGTCAATAAAGAAACAATTGACTTAAACTATACCCTAGAACAAACAGACCGACAGATATTTACAGAACATTCTACCCAACAGCTGCGGAATATGCATTCTATTCATCAGCATATGGAATATTCTCCAAGATAGACCATATGATAGGTCACAAAACAAGTCTCAACAAATTTAAGAAAATCAAAATTATATCAAGTACTCTCTCAGGCCGCAGTGGAATAAAATTGGAAATCAATTCCCAAAGGAACCCTCAAAACCAGGCAAATATATGAAAATTAAATAATCTGCTACTGAATGATCAGTGGGTCAACAATGAAACCAAGTTGAAAACTTTAAAATTCCTTGAACTGAATGATAATAGTAACACAACTTATCCAAATTCTGGGATACAGCAAAAGCAGTGCTAAGAGGAAGGTTCTAAAGGAGCACAAATTGACCTAAGGTCACATCTCAAGGAAATAGAGAAGAACAAACCAACCCAAACCCAGCAGTAGAAAAGAAATAACAAAGGACAGAGCAGAATTAAATAAAACTGAAACAAAAAATACAAAAGATGCCGGGCGCGGTGGCTCACGCCTGTAATCCCAGCCCTTTGGGAGGCCAAGGCAGGCAGATCACGAGGTCAAGAGATCGAGACCATCCTGGCCAACATGGTGAAACCCCGTCTCTACTAAAAATACAAAAATTAGCTGGGCGTGGTGGTGCGCACCTGTAGTCCCAGCTACTCGGGAGGCTGAGGCAGGAGAATCGCTTGAACCTGGGAGGCAGGAGTTGCAGTGAGCCGAGATCGTGCCACCGCACTCCAGCCTGGTGCCTGGCAATGGAGTGAGACTCTGTCTCAAAAAAAAAAAAAAAAAAAAAAAAAAAAAACAAAAGATAAGTAAAACAAAAAGTTTGTTCTTTGAAAAGATGAACAATACTGATAGACCAAGAAAAGAGAGAGAAGATCCAAATAAGCTCAATTAGAAACAAAACAGGAGATATAACCAATACCACAGACATACAAAAGATTATTCAAGGCTACTATGCTTTTTTCTAGTTTGTGCACAAACCAGGAAGAAATAGAAACTCTGAACAGACCAACAACAAGCAGCAAGATTGAAATGGTGTTTTTTTTAAAACCCAGAAATAAACCCAAATACTCACACTCAATTGATCTTTGATAAAGCAAACAAAAACATAAAATGGGGAGAGGACACCCTTATATGAGTGTCTATATGTATATTTTCATGTTTGGAGCTTTACATTTAACTTCTTTATTCATCTGAAAGTATTTTACATCATTATTCTAAATGAAGTAACCAGGAATGGAAAACCAAACATCATATGATCGTATGTTCTCATTTATAAGTGAGAGCTAAGCTATGAGGACACAAAGGCATAAGAATGATATATATTTTACATGAATAAAGAAAGTTATTTTTTCCCTGATGTTAACAAGCAAAAGCAACATTATTAAATAGTTCTACCTTCAAAATAATACTAGCAAACTTAATTCAGCAGCACATTAAAAAGATCACTCACGGTGGTCAAGTGAGATTTATTCCAGGAATGTAATAATGGTTCAACATATATAAATAAATAAATGTAAAACATACCAAGAGAACAAAGCACAAAAGCCATATGACCATTTCAATAGAAACAGAAAAAGCATTTGATAAAATTTAACATCTTTTCATGATTTAAAAAAACCCTCTCAACAAGTTAGGCATATAGAAGGAATGTATCCCAGCACAATAAAATACAAACCCACAGCCTAAATCATACTGAACAGTGAAAAGTAGCCACTTTTTGCTTTAAGGTCTGGAACAAGACAAGGATGTCCCTTTTTGCCACTTTTATTTAACATAGTACTGGAAGTCCTAGCCAGAGCATTTATGCAACAAAATGAAATAAAGGGCATCCAAATTGGAAAGGAGGAAGTCAAATTTTCCCTGTTTGCAAATGACATAATCTTATATATAGAAAAACCTAAAAGCTTCACAGAAAAGAAACTTAGATCTGAAAAACAAGTCAGTAAAGTCACAGGACAAAATTAAATGCAAAAACTAGTACTATTTCTATATACCAACAACTAGCTAGAAACCAATTCCATTTATAATAGCTTAAAAAAAAAAAAACCCCTAGGAATAAATTTTTAAAAAGAGGTGAAAGATGTCTCCCAGGAAAACTATAAGACATTGATAAAAGAAATTAAAGAGGACATACACAAAAATAAAAAGAAATCCCATGTTCATGGATTGGAAAAATTGATATTGTGAAAATGACCACACTACCAAAAATGACCTATGGATTCAATGAAACGCATATCAAAATACCGATTGTGTTCTTCACAGAAATAGAAAAAAATGCTAAAGATTTTATGGAACCACAAAAGACCCTGAATAGTCCAATCAATCCTTGCTAAAAGAATGTAGCTAAAGGCATCACAATACCAAATGTCAAAATATACTACAAACCTATATTAACCAAAACAGGATGGTGGCTAGGTACAGTGGTTCATGCCTGTAATTCCAGCACTTTGAGAGGCTGAGATAGGAGAATTGCTTAAGGCCAGGAGTTCAAGATCAGCCTGGACAACAAAAAGAGATGCCATCTCTACCAAAAATAAAAATAAATTTAAAAATGAAACAGGATGGTATTGACATGAAAACAGACAAATAGATCATTGAAGCAGAATAGATAACCCAGAAATAAACCCATGTATTTATAGCCTAGTCATTTTTGACATAGCCAAGAAGACCATACATGGAGGAAGTGACAGTCTCTCCAACAAATGCGGCTGGGAAAACTGGATATCCATATGCAGAAAAAAATATAGACCACTATCTCTCACTATATTAAAAAATCAACTCTAGACTGAGGACTGAACACAGTGGCTTACCCCTATAATCCTAGCACTTTGGGAGGCTGAGGCAGAAAGATCGCTTGAGTCCAGGAGATCAAGACCAGCCATAGACAACATGGCAAAACCCCACCTCTACAAAAAATACAAAAATTAGCTGGGCATGGTGGCACACATCTGTAGTCCCAGGTATTTGGGGGACTGAGGTGGGAGGATTACTTGAGCCTGGGAGGTCAACAGTGAGCTGAGATCAGCTGCACCCCAGCCTGGGGAACAGAGTGAGACTCTGTCAAATAAATAAATAAACTCTAAATGGATTAAAGATTTAAACAGAAGACTCCAAACTATGAAACTACAAGAAAAAAATATAAGGCCGGGCGCGGTGGCTCAAGCCTGTAATCCCAGCACTTTGGGAGGCCGAGGCGGGTGGATCACAAGGTCCAGAGATCGAGACCATCCTGGTCAACATGGTGAAACCCCGTCTCTACTAAAAATACAAAAAATTAGCTGGGCATGGTGGCACGTGCCTGTAATCCTAGCTACTCAGGAGGTTGAGGCAGGAGAATTGCCTGAGCCCAGGAGGCGGAGGTTGCGGTGAGCCGAGATCGCGCCATTGCACTCCAGCCTGGGTAACAAGAGCGAAACTCCATCTCAAAAAAAAAAAAAAAAAAGAAAAAAATATAATAGGAGAAACACTTAAGGACACTGATCTGAACAAAAGTATTATGGAGAACACCTCAAAGCACAGGCACAAAAACAAACACAGTGTTAGTTAAACTAAACTGTGTTTAACAAACGGTGTCAGTTAAACTAAAAGCCTTCTGTGTAGCAAAGGAAACAAACAGAACGAAGAGACAACCTGAAGAATGGGAGAAAATATTTGCAAACAATTCATTTGACAGGGGATTAATACTAGAATATACAAGGAACTGAAACAACTCAAATAACCCAATTTAAAAATGGGCAAACAACTGAATCGATATCTCTCAAAAGAAGACATGCAGATGCCCAAGCATGTGAAAAAATGCTCAACATCACTAATCATCAGGGAAATGCAAATCAAAACCACAATGAGATATTATCTCACCCCAGTTAAAATGACTACTAAAAAAGACAAGAATGTAACAAGTGCTGGTAAGGAAGTAGGGAAAGGGAAACTCTTATACACTGTGGGTGGGAATGCAAATTAGTACAGCCATTGTAGAAAATAATAAGGAAGTTTCTCAAAAAACTGAAACTACCAATGTTCTAGCAATCCGACTACTGAGTATATATATCCAAAGGAAAGGAAATCAGTATGACAAAGAGACATCTGTGCTCCCATATTTATTGCAGCACTATTCCCTACGGCTAAGATATGAAATCAACCTAAGTGTCCATAAACACAAGAATGAAGAAAATGTGGTATGTATACATAATGGAATGCTCTTTATCCATTAAAAAAGAAAACTCTGTAATTCACAGTAATATGGATGAGCTTGGAGGACATTATGTTAAA